TGCAGGCTTTGACCTTCGGCTTGGACCTTGCGGCGTTTGTCATGCAGGTGGCCGCTCGGCGTGTTGGGCGACGCGGTGGGGCATGTTGGCGTTGCCTTCAGTGTTAGATACCCCCATGGTTTCGGTTTTCGGCTGCTGGGGTCCGATTGATATGCACACTGGACACATGGATCCAAACTTTCATTCGCATTAACCTCGGCCTTCTCAGTGCCGTGCGGTGTCCGCACTTTGGGGGAGTTTGGAAGTTGCGTTCGAGCGTGCTTTTGCGCGCCGGGCGACTTCAGGAACAGAGCTTGGAAGCCGTCACCTTGCTGAACCTCTGTCTGATTCGATCATCATGTGGCTCAGTCACAACATATTGAAATGATCAGCTCCATCTCAAAACAGAGAACTTCCATTTTTCACTCAATAGTCGAAGAGGAACCGCAGTGTCACAAGTGATGTGTAGAAAATGCAAAAACACACTCATTTCCTTTAACCTCTTGCATAGTGTCCCATAGGTACCGTCAATGCGTGCGCTACTTGTGGAATCAGTTTTCGTGGCACGCACAGGGGACCTCTTTGCGTGGCATGCGCAGCATTTGGTGAACCTCTGATTCGATTTTTCGGGGCAGGCGCAGCGTTTGTTAAACTTCTAGCTCCACTTTTCGTGGCAGGTGCAGCATTTGGTGAACCTCTGTTTCCATTTTTTGCGGCAAGCGCAGCATTTGGTAAGCTTCTAGTTCCACTTTTCGTGGTTGTTGAACCTCTGATTCGATTTTTCGGGGCAGGCGCAGCGTTTGGTAAACTTTAGTTCCACTTTTCGTGGCAGGCGCAGCTTTTGGTGAACCTCTGTTGCCATTTGTCGTGGCAGGCGCAGCATTTAGTGAACTTCTTGTTCCATTTTTCGTGGCAAGCACAGCATTTCTTAAACTTCTAGTTCGATTTTTGGTGGCAGGCGCAGCGTTTGGTGAAAACCTGCTTTCATGTTTCGTGGCCGGCGCACGGAATTTGAAGCTCCAGGTGGCCCAACGTGTGGCCAGACGCTGAATCGTAACGTTGGAATCCAACGTTATGCTCGTTTTACGTGGCAGGCGTGGGACAAAAGTCGAAATCGTAACGTTGGACGCGTTTGAAAAAGATTATAGTAATTCTCTTTTTTGAACCGAGTCCAACGTTATGATTTGCACTTTTTTGTGAAACTGTCGCCGAAAACGGATCGTAACGTTGGATTCCAACGTTATGATTTGCGTTTTCGTGTGGGGAGTACTCCGATTTTGGCCGCGCTGGCTGTGCTGAAAGTGGAGATTTCGTGGCAGGCGCAGCGCTTTGTGAACCTCGAGGTGCCGATGTCGTGGCAGGCGCAGGGCTTTGTGAACCTCCAGGTGCAGATTTCGTGGCAGGCGCAGCGCTTTCTGAACGTCCAAGTGGAGATTTCGTGGCAGGCGCAGCGCTTTGTGCACCTGAAAGTGCAGATTTCGTGGCAGGCGCAGCGCTTTGTACACCTCGAAGTGCAGATTTCATGGCAGGCACAGCATTTTGGGAACCTCGAAGTTCGAAGTGGAGATTTCGTGAACCTGAAAGTGCAGATTTCGCAGGAGGGGCAGCATTTTGAGAACCTCGAAGTGCAGAGTTCGTGGCAGTCGCAGCACTTTGTCAACCTCTAAGTGCAGATTTCGTAGGAGGGGCAGCGTCTTGTGAACCTCGAAGTGCAGATTTCATGGCAGGCGCAGCACTTTATGAACCTCGAAGTGCAGGTTTTGTGGCAGGCGCAGCGTTTGGTGAACCTTTGCTTTCATTTTTCGTGGAAGGCGCAAGCTTTGGCGCACTTTTAGTTTACTCAAACTGTGGTTCCTGCCAAACAAAACGCACCAAGTTTAGGACTCTATGATGGTAGTTGTATATAATGCACGCAACTGTAAATCATCACTAATCATGTCCAAGGCCATGGCCACGTCGAAGTCCTCCGGATCCGCTTCGCCCGCTTCGTCCTCTTCGTCCTCTTCATCAAGCCATGAGGAGGAAAAACCATCTGTGACTTTGGGCAACAGCGACACTTCCACAGAGGCTGAGAATGCACCAGCTAAAGCGAGGGCATATGCTGGTATGTTTACTTGGCCATGTCCGCGGCATTTTCCAAGACTTGGAAGATCGACGAGCAGCAAAGGTCCTTAAGCCTTGTGATGTTTCCAAGGAGAAACTGTTGGAGGCCTTCACAAAAGCGCTGAAGAGCAAAGGTTACTTGCACAATCTTGTGAAGGCTGCCGTGGCGGATGAACCGCACAAGCATTACCAGCCCGATGGTGCTTCTCGGGAAAGACACAAACACCTCATCTTTCTGTTTCGAGCTCCGTTTGTGCACGCTGGCGTTCGCAAGCTGTTGGCCGAAGAGTTTGGGTACCATGGATTCTTCACATTTCATCGCGCGGGCTGGTGCGCCTATCTGGATTACCTGATGATGGAGAGCGCAAAGAAACCAGCGCATGATTTAGACCGTGACCTTGTGTTTTATCCGTCAAGTTACACCAAGCAGAAAGCTGATGGCGAGCTTGCAGGGATGTCCTCGCAGGTGGCTGGCAGAAAGAAGAATGAGGGGCTGCAGAAAGGTCCGTCGGAGGCCTTGCAGAAACGACGCCGGCGCATGTCTTTTAGCGAGCTTACAGACTTTGTTGTCGAAAGGAAGATTTCAACAGTGGCAGAGCTATGGAAGGCCTGGCACACATACAATCTGGAGGCTGTTTTCCATCAAGCGTAATATCAGTCTTAGATAAGCATCCTCCTTGGTAGAAACAACGCGGTTGGAACGACAAGGTGCATCATAGGCAGTCCAATGTTTGGTCCAATCACTTCGTTGGGGATGCCGCGGGTTTTGTGGTCATGCCCAAAGTGCTTTGTTTATAATTCCCTCTCATCGCCAGGCCGCCAAAGAGGAAAAGATGCGTGGCAACTCTTTGGTTTGGGACCATGTGGGGCAGCTTCGGGATCCAGCTGCGGAAGTGCAGAAAATCTTGGCTGCGTGGCACCGACCTGAAACCTTGGGGGCTTCAACTCTTATCACCTCACCACGCTTTCCTTTGGAGCACT